CCTTTCCTTTTTTTATCCACAGTTTTCTCTCCACATTGTTTATTTTGAAGCAGTTTTGAGACAAAGTGGAGAGACATTAAAACTGCTACTGCGGAAGTTACTCAGCAGGCCGTTGCTAGGTAACCAAAGAGTGAGTGAGTGAGTTGCTAGGTAACCATAGAGTGAGCGAGATGGTAGATTCCACCAACCTAGCTTAGCTGGCTGGAGTTTATTGAATATTTTATATATTGAATATTCTATTAATGACATGTTTATCACAGTGTGTATTATTGATTTATTGTCCAGCACTGGAAGTGCGTAAACTGCTTGTGTGTGGGGCGAAAAAGAAATCAATTTCACATCAGTTTGAAAGGCTAATAAATAAATTCATGAACATGAAAAGAAAGGATATTATGTTTATAATTTCAATATGTTTCAGTTAGTTTTATAACGAATGCTATAATTGGTTTTCTTTATGTATTTCAGTTGATGGAAATGTTTTCTCAGTTTCAGTTTTCATTATTTCGTTAGCTTCAGTTAGCTGTAATAACCTTGGCGGTAGGTGAATTTTCACAGGGGTGAGCTGGAGAGTTTCGTCCTCATGCAGAGTCGGGCGCATCGCAGCGAAAAACGCAGTCATGACTGCGGCCGTTCGTCTGGGATGCATGTGCAAATGCAGAGATGGATGCACTCAGGAGGAAGCCACTTTCATCTACCTGCAGCAGTGTAGCGGTGTGTGTGTATGTGTGTGTTAGTACTTTGTGCATCCACAGAACCTGAAATAGCCCAACGTGGAGGGAGGTGAGGGGGAGGGGTGGATGTGCAGCTCAGGCATGGAAACCAGCATATCCGGTTACAGGATCATAATATCACTGCAGAGGCCGTCCACTACTGTTCCACTACTGCACTACGCACACGCAGCCGGCTCCAGGAATAATATCATCAGACCGCATGTTCAATGTTTGGCATCCAGCACCCACCATGCATGCACACACCTGACTTTACCTCCTCTTTGGAGCGATCCTTGGATAGTTACATGGATTTGTTGTTAACTAGAGTTAACCCTTGTTCAGCTAAAGGAAGAGAAAACGGAGACGGCCAAGACTTGAATTTTTTTTGTTTTTTCTAGACAAGGTTGAGATTTTGATATCGTAACCTTTTAGGTAAAACAAAACTCACATTTAAAGCAAAACATCTGCTTTTATTTACTGATGTAAACAAAACAAATATTGGAAGACGTTATTTACAGTTGAATCCAGATATTTTCCAATAAAAAACACACAATTTTTTTTCTTGCTGTCTGAAGTTAAATGAAACTAAACTTTTAAAGTTTTAGGTCAGCTAAAATTATCAAAATTATTTCTATTTGCAAAATGCCAAAAAGCATATAAAGAATATATGTATGCATGTTGTACAAACACAACATGCAACAATTATTATTATAGCTGCTAAAATAATAGACATTGCTTTACAAGTGATGCTTTATTTAATTTCAGATAATTTTGTCATTTTGTACCTTTTAATTATTTGGCTTTCTCAAACTATTTTGGACTTTTCTGTTTTGTACTCATGTAAAGTCATTTTCTGTGATAGTCCACTGTAAGGAAATGTGATATTCTGATTCCAATAAACCATATCTACGAGAGGAAGGTAATTTTGGTTTGATAAGGGTTGTCTGATTAAAAAAACAGATTAAAGGATGATTTCTGTACATACAGACGCATCAGTTTCCTCTTGTTTTAGAAGCTAATGTTTACGTAGCATTGAAGAAAAAATTCTGATTTTTTGTAATTCTCACAGTTCTCATTCACTCGCCTTTTTTTTATATTAATCATATTACCAATGCCTATATAACAGACCATTCAGATCAAAATAAATTTGAACCACAGTATTGGAAATATTTTAAAAGATCTTTACTCATTTAGTTTAATTATTTTTAAATGGGTTTACAAAGATATTAGCTTTACAAAAGTAGTAAAAATAATAGCATAACAAATGTCATAACAAATTTTGCTGGAGGGTAAATAATATTATGATAAATGACAATGTTGTGGTTTTTAGACCATTTTCAAATAATATATTGATATAATAAAGCAAGTTTGTGCTCTCAAAGATCAATGGAAGACATTTTAATATCCAAAATAAAACAACAAAAACAAGTAGAGAGAGCCCCACGTACAACCAAGACAATAAATAAAATGGATTATATTTCTACAAACAAAATTAATCTGCAAAAAATAGTAACCATCCAAATGGAAATTAAGCTCATTTTAATTGATGTTGTGATTAACTGCATAATTGCTTTTTGCTACAGGCTTAATCATAGTTAATAAATGTAAAATAAATGCTCAAAAATGACATTTTAATATATATATTTTTAAATTAGCATATTTTTAACTAAACATCTGCTGGAAAACAAAAAAACGGGAAATTATTTTATCATCGGCACCTTGTAGCTTTCAAGCAGTTGCTCTTAATCATGCCAGAAATCGGTATGAGCCGGTTAAAGCTAGATTGGTGCGTCTCTAATTGTAATATAAGCTTCTGCCAACAAGTTTGAAAACAAACGTAGCATCAGGACTTTTTTATTTCACTGAATTTCTCTAAAGGAAACTCTTTCAGAAAGTTTTGGCACCATAGTTTATCTGTGACTCGATAGGATTTTCAGTCAGTGACCCCGCTACGCTGCTGTGCTTTATCACTTTGACTCTTTTACGATCCGTTTTTCTTTTTTTAAACAAAGTTACTGTAGAGAAATTGGAGGAATTAAAGCTGCAGGATGTTAAAGACGGGTGGAATAGTGTGGAAGGAGCGGATAGTCAGAGGCGAGAGGAGGATAATGAAGAGGAATGTGACGGGTGGGGCACCTCTGGTATGTGTGCGTCTTGTGTGTGAGAGAGCCCAAACAGCCTGCCGCGGCTCGGTGAGTCACACATGCGCAGCTGCTTCGCCTCTCAGTCACACAGCAGCAGCGTTCTGCTTTGAAATGCTGTTTTTTTGATTCCTCGCGCCTCTGAATCTCCATTTTCCTGAAGCAGCAGCAGCAGTCACTGCTGCAATGAAGGAGTGCCGACGTGAGAACGCGTTAATGCCAGAAGTTATCCAGCTGCCAGAAACTCTCTTTCATTTCCTCTAATGCATCTTTATTCACCATGTAAATTATTGGGAAGATGTGGAGAAGTTGGAGGTCTTACTCGGTAACCGTAGCAACCTGATACCGCTTGGTGTGATGCAGGTGTGAATACTTTCTTCAAACTACACGTTTGAGTGTGTGAATAATTCCCAGTTTATTAGATACTGGATTATTTATTTACCAAATAAAAATCTGCCGAGTAATGCAAGAAGCAGAGGCTGAAATATTGCTGAGTCACTGGTTGCTATGGTGATTCCAGGCTGTTCCGCTACAGTTTTCAACAGAAAACCGGTTAGAACCCGTCATTTGCAGTTATATTGTATACCATATTAATCAATAACTGAAATAATGGTCAACTATAATATAGTAAGCAATCAATTGTAAGCTATATACACACTCTTCAAAAGGCCATTTGCTGAAAGAACACCACACTGAGGACTAATTAAGTCAAATCTGTACAAAAATATCAGCATTTTGCATCGTTAAAAAACTTTCGTCTGTAGATATGTTCTACCTAGAACTCCTCAATTGTCATTGTTTTAATTTCACCTGGTTAAAATTTTGTAAAACAAACACAAAAATATCCTTTTTTTTTATCCAATTATTAATCAATTAACCAAAAAATAGACACCGGATCAGCACTATACTGTATTAATGTTGAGTCTTACAGGAAGGACTGAACTTTCCACATGTTTTTAGACGTATTTATTTACCTACAGATGCATCCTTTGCTACAAATGATCAACCTTAGCCCAAAGGAATGTTATGTTATTGCATTTTAGGCAATAAAGTAAGAAAGCTGAAAAACTATTTTCAGCAATAAAAACAGGATCTTGGTCAATGTATTTAGCCTAGTTTTAATACAGCAATTAAAAGCATATTTGGGTGCACAAAGGTGTATTTTAGAGTACAAGTTGTGAGTAAATGTGGTCTAATTTAGATGGAAACTAGAAGGTTTGGAAATGATTATCACTTTTTGCTGCATCTAACATTTTTGTAAGTAGATTTTGATTCAATAGTCGTAGTTTTGTAGAAAATTATTCTTGAATTGTGGTTGGGGTCCGCAAGAAATCAGGACAGGTTCTGCAAATGGTCCCCGAACTCCACTTTGAACACCCATGGCCTAGTCGTAGATGCGATTGTGGGTTTATCTGCATCTCTGGATGGATTCTTCATTACCTTTCCTACTCCTCTGCTTCCGCTTCTCGCTTGTCTTCCTCATCTTCCTCCTGTACTCTTCTTCCTACCTCCACCGCGTCCCATTCGTTTCTTTGGGTGAATTCCCAGCTGACTCGGTTTGTCATGGCAACCAACAGGTCATGGTGACTGGGCCTGCAGCTTACACTTCCTGTGTGTGTGTGTGTGTGTGTGTGTGTGTGTGTGTGCGTGTGTGTGAGTATGTGTGTTTGAGAGAAGACGCATGCGCCTTTATTCAGGCGGCGACTGGCTGCATGTCGGCCTGGATTAAAGTCAAACACACTGCAGTAGCTCCTTTCTTTCTTTTCCATTTTCTTCTTCTTTGTTTTCTGAATAGTTTTATAAAAATCACCCAAATTATTGCTCCTTTTGTACCCTGCTCACCGCCACAACCAGCAAGTTCTTCCTCTAATATCATAAAAAGAGGAGTGGCCAAAGGTTGGGCTTTAAATCTGGCCTATGATCCTGTGCTGAGTAGGGAGCACTGCTATTGCGTAACTTAGTGTGTGAAGGTTTCCTCTGCAGCTGCTCACTTTCTGTATTTTTATTTATTTATTTATTTTTATCTCCAAATGCAATATGCTCATTTTCTGTTTGCAGCTTCTTACTGTCCCAAAGAAGACTTTGGTTCCTGTACGAATGAAGTGATTTTGGTATCCTGATGCGATTTCACGTCAAGCCTCAAAAGAGGCAGTTTTTTGATGTGGGCAGTTGCCCAGGGCGGCACTAAAGGAGGGGATACAATGGCACCATTCAGATGTACTGATCAAGTAATTGTGGATCCAATTGTGATAAGTGATAAGTAGTCCTAAAACAGCTTTTAGACAGAACTGATGAGACTAAAATCTTATTATCCAAGAATGATTTTGTCCAAAAAGATAAATGGACACACTGTAAATCATCCACCATAAGGTCTAACAGATTTCCATAAAGTCTGGAGTGACTTTATTTAGGTTCTGAGCTATAAGTCACTGAATGCGAAGGAGCAACACTAGACTTCAGACTTGATTTGTGTCTTAATGATTTCTTATCTGAGCACTTGATTAACTTGTTTCCTCTCCTTTTGTTTTGTGTTGTCTAGATATATGTTCTGTAAAGGTGCAAAGCGGAAGTTGGAAGAGGATGAAGAGGGCCTGGAAGGCAAAGCGCTGGAGGCGTCGGTGGCGGGAGCGGGGGTAGGCGTTGCCTTGGAGGGTCTTTCCAAGGTGTCCTACACCCTTCAGAGACAGACCATCTTCAACATCTCCCTGATGAAGCTCTACAGCCAGCGGCCGCTTGGCGAGCCCAGCTTGGAGCGCCGCGTCCTCATCAACAACATGCTCCGCCGCATCCAGGATGAGCTCAAGCAGGAGGGCTCCCTGCGGCCACTGTTTCTGCCGCCCTCGCCGCCGCCTGATGACCCCATGGACGAGGGGTTCCGCGAGGCGCCGCCATCTTTCGGCATCCTGTCCCAACCATCTGCACTGTTGATGCCGGCGATTCCTCCACCACCTTCGCCCCACCCGATGGTGCTTCCCAGCTGCCCGGCGCCCCAGCGCTTGGAAGGCTGCGCCACGCCCCTGGACGCCTGCCTCACTCCGGCCTCACTACTGGAAGAGGACGGTGGGGATTCGGCGTTCTGCGCGCCGTCCCCACCCACTCCTCCTCTGTCTCCGCCCCCACTGGCTCCATCATCAGCGCTAATGAGCAAGTTGTCCTCTAGTGTGACTGTCCTATCAAACGACAGTTTCTCATCCCCTCCGAGTGACATGGAGTTGGCTCCTCCCACCGCCATTACACGGACGGCAGCCGCTAATACTATGACCATAACTACCTCCCCCACTCCATCCCCTTTCTCATCACCCACAGGCTCCACCAGAGACTGCAGGACAATGGGTGCTAAGCCAGAGGCAGCTGCTGTTTTCCTGCCCGCACATTCCCCTGCTAGCCTGGAAGACATTTCCCCCTCGCCTTCGTCCCCTTCTTCTTCGGGTTTCCTCTCAGACTTGGCGCTGGACGACGTCCTGTTCGCCGATATTGACACGTCCATGTACGACTTTGACCCTTGCACCACAGCAGGGGCCGTAGGCGCCACAGCTGGCGGTGGCGGTCACGCCAAGCTTTCGCCAGTGGTGAACGCCGACGACCTCCTCAAAACTCTGACGTCGCCGTACAGCGGCTCCGCCCCCCAGGTTTCAGCCAATCAGCCTTTTAAAATTGATCTGACAGAACTGGACCACATCATGGAGGTGCTGGTGGGGTCATGATTCAACGACACCCTGACCTCCACCTGCAAAACTTTTTATTAACCTGGAGAAACAGACTGGATGGGAAAAATTTGGGATCGCTTTTATTTTTATCTCTTTAAAAGACTTTTTCTTCTAAGGTCGGTAATTGTAAACATCAAAGGTGATGTCAACTAGTACTACTATGACAACTACTACTTCTACACAACACTGTTCATGCACTGTGCTCGCCTTTCTAGGTGTGGAAGTGAAGTAACGAGGAAGCAAAGCATACACACCGCAAAAACATAGAAGCATTTTTGGTCTAGTTTCTCGTGCAAATGTCTTGGTATACTTGAAATGAGACAAAACTAACTCACAAGTAACTTTTCACCAAGATATGAGTTTGTTTTAAGTAAATAATTCCTTAATATTGATTAAGGAATAAAGTAGATTATTGGCAGATTATTATAGAAAGACATTTTCCCAGGTTGGAAGTAGTATAACCTGCCAGTGGAACTTTTTCTTTTTCAAAAACCTGGCCACTACTGAGCGGTTACCTAGCAACCCCAGCTGAGCCCAGCCCTGTTACCTAGCAACCCAAGAACTCCAGTGCGTTTGGTCAGCTGGAAACCACTTGCTATATTCTTTTTTAAATTGTTCAGGCTTTTCAAAGATGTATGGTTGTATAATTGTGCATCTTTTTGAAGCCATCTTCACTTGCGATTCTAAACGTTGAGCTGAGGGCGTGACCAGCAGCAGCTTATTTGGATTTAAAGTGACAGAGCCCTAAAATAACTAATTCTGAAAGGAGCTAAAATAAGCAGAACTAACCAGATCTAAGAATGATTTTGTGTAAAAATGTAATGAATATGTTTTGATAATTCCATAGATCTATCCTAACCATTCAGCGAAGCATAATAGGGCCCTTTTAGGAAATTATTTACTTAAATCAAGCTCCTATATCTTGATGAATAGTCACGTTATAATTTTATTTCATGTGTACCAAGATATTTGCACTATGAACTACACTAATAATGGTAAGGTTTTGAGTGTTTGCAGTGCACAGAATTTTGTATATCTATACTTGTGAGGAACTTTATGAATTTCCTTTCTAGTCCTTTACCTGAAGCTAAGCCTTAACCCTTAAGAGTAACTGTAAATATTTCTATTTTTAATCCTCGTGGGGACATGCACTCCTCACAGGTACAGAAATACAAAACAAACATATACATACACACACTGTAATTATGGCTTTTAGCAGCTGAGTGCCTTTCAAATGACCACTTATTCAGTTCCTGGTTTTTACAGTATTTTTTATCCACTCTTCTCACTTTAACAGCCCACTGAGGGTCACACGATGTTTTTAATTTATTATATTGTATTAAATTTTGTTGAGGTAATTTTACATGATCAAATTATGATTATTTAATCTTTATCTTATTACAGATACAATGTTTTAATTGTAAAGCAAGCATTTAAGGAGGAATACATTGTTTTATTGGTGACTGTGGGGTGCCAAAAGTGACGAGATGTAGTAAATAAATAATCAGGTAAATTATTTTATATTCAGTAGGGCTGAAATGATTAATTGGATTAATCACGATAAATACAAACTCAAAAGAGGCAAATTGCTGAAAAAAAAAAACATTCTCAGATGAGTAAATAAGCCAAAAATGTACAAAAACACACCCTTTTTCTATTTAAGACGTTAAAAAAACTATTTTTCTGTAAATATGTTCTACCTAGAACTCAAGTAGTTTTCACCTGGTTCAAGTTCAGTAAAAAAACAAAAAATGCACCTTTTTCTCTCCAATTATTAATTGGTTAATCCAAAAATAAACAGATAAGCCCTGTATTGTATAGTTGTTATATCAAGCAGAAAAGGCTGAGATTTTCATATGTTGAGCTGCAGATTTGTCATTTTCTACAAATGATCCATGTATTTTATTGCATTTCAGGCAATAAAATATTGATTTAACAGAAAAGTTTGCTTATTTGGATCTTCTAATATATTCCTAATATATAAAAAAGCTTAAGTGGTTAAATGAAAAATCTGCAGAATGTACCAACTTTTTTTCTTCGATCAATTTTGCAGCCCTGACATAAATAAATGTAACCATAATTATTGAAATTGGTTGATTTTATTAAATGCATAAAATACAAAAGGTTGCAATAATATGTAATTATGTCAGTGTAGTTTACTCCAATGTAGACCAAAACATACTGTGTAACATGTTTATTTTTTTATCACATTTTGGCACATTTGGACCCCCATAGATTTCCACATTAGCCTGGCTCTGCAATAATGCTTTAGAAGTAGCTGTAAACCACATCACCAGGTTGTTGTTTAAACTTTTTACTAGAAGGGAGCATCTGTTTGTGTACACATGATGTCTACGAATTCAATGCCAGACTTCCTGTTTTTTTGTTTTAGTTTTTTTTTTTGTTACTTTTTTGGCCCTTCCATTTCTCCGTACTCTGCTTGTCTCCCCCACCTTATTCACAGTCATAATACAACTGCTGATTGTTGTTTAACATGAGCTTGGTTATATGAGCCAGTTATCACAAATCAATTGCAGAGGTATTCAAATGAGCTGCACCCACTGGTAACACTGGTTTACGCTCGAAGAAATGAGCAGCCCTCTCCCCAGTCTCAATTGCACGTAGATGATTTGGGAAAAGCTCCAAAGTTGATGTATTTATTTATTTATTTTTTTGGCAGAAAACAGATTATAATGATTTGGTAACAGCAGGGCTTACAGTATTACTCACACTCCCTGTTTCTACGGGGTTTGTTTATATGTGTTAGTAATAGGTAGCCTTAAATGCTAGATAGCTCTTTGTAGATTAGCAGTCCTGCTACTTTACACTATTTTCTCAACTCGGTATTAGCGGGAGAGCTAAAACTATCACGGAAGAAATTTGAATTGAGATTTCCACTGAAGTGGAAAACCAAAACCACAGTGCTAACCTGATACTGCAGCCATGCAGCAGACTGTGGTGCATTAAAACTACGTTCGTCACAAAGCCTTATAAATCTAACTATAATCTATTAAATTAAATCTTTTTTGCATTTGTTTAAAATTCAGAATGTCAGAAGCAGCATTTCTGAACACTTTTGGCACTTTTCCTTTACGTGGAACAGCCCAAAAAGTTTGGTATTTTTGGTTTTCACTCCAAGTAGCGCCACCTTTTTTTACTGACCTGTGAACTATGACAATGCATCTGAAGGCAACAAAAAACAACAAAGCAATCCATCCTGGGCATTTTCTCTGTTTTAGCTGAGAGCTTAAATCGTTGCAGGGCATGAAGGGCGCTGTTGGTGCCAGAGGCAGCTTAGAAAACGGGCATTTTGCAGAAACACCAGACTGGTTCTGAATGATGCCTTTCAAAACTGTCCACTTGTATCTGAATCTCACTTAATTAATTACACAGCAGTGCCAGTGTATAGCCAGTAGATGGCACTGTATTGTACGACGCAATCCAAAATGGATTCCTGTCGAGGCTGTTTTTGTTTTGGACTACTACTTAAATGTAACTAACATTGTAGGGGGCGCTGTGGAGCAAATTTTTGCAGGTTCAGAGAATATTTAAGCCCTTCAAACTGCAAATTTTCAGAACGAAGACAATAATGACTTTAAATAACAGACTGTTCCACCACCTTTTGTGCTGATGGCTTTAAAAAAAAATAAATTTTTTCCATCACAAATTACTTTTAAAATGTTTCATTCATTATAAAACGGGTTAAAATAATTTATTGCAATTACAAATTTATCAAGCTAGCAAACTTCAAAACACTTTGAGAACTCAAACTAAAATTAAAGTCTGAATGAATGAAATGATTATTAAATAGTGAATTAAAGTGAGAAGAAAACATTGTAAAAGTCAATTTTTGTAGCATTGTCAGTAGATGCTAATGCTGTTTGGGAAGTACAAAGCTAGCAAAGCAGTGAATAAAAACAATGTGAAGCTACCTGAAGTTGAAAACCTCGTCAATTTGAGCTGTACCATGTGAGGAAACTGTGCCAATCAGAGCTACGTTCCAAAGGGAGGGTTCAAAAGACATTTATTTTATCTTAAAATAATTATCAGACATCTGGAGAAGCCCTTGTATCCAGTGGTGTTTCAGAGAAATGGAGGGTGGTGTAAAGTTTGGGTTCCCTGGCAGAGTATTTGCTCAGATGTGAGTCAAGCGCCACGTTATGCTGTTTGCAGACGACTGTGTCTTGTTTCTCTGTGTGTTTTTAATTTTTTTGGAGTGCTTTTGTTTAATTTCCATTGAAATTATTTATTCATCTTGGGGTTTTTGTCTTTTCTGTGTAAATATATTTATTTTTGATGTGAAGTGGACACATGGATTGTAAATGTGTGTACAGAATGTGTGTTAGGAATGTACTTTTAGATAGGAATGTATCAGAGTGTGAAAAACTGGGTGGAAGCCATTTTTTATATACATAGGTTGTTATATTATCTTCTGTTGATTTGTTGCGTTCTGGATTTTATTTTTTTTCTCCTGGTGGGGTGGCCACAACTTTTTATATCTTTTGTACTTTTTATCATTTTCCGGTTAAAGGCAAACAGTTCACATTCATGCAGCAATATTTAAAGAAAACGGTCTCAAACCTACAGATGTCAAGACTCCAAAGCCTGTCATGGATGCTTTCATGCCAAAAGTAATGTACATAGTATGACCAACATTTAAGCTCCTAAGACTTTTCAATCAGTGTTTGTCACCAAATCGGTTTCATTGCGTCCAAGCGTGCGGCAGATTCCCTCAACACGGGCTGTAACTTCAGACCTCAGCGCTGTGCCTTTTTCTATGCAACAAAACAAACACACAGAGAGAAATTATCAACTGATCACTGTATCGGTGGGTCTGTAGAAAATAAAAAGCTCAGCTTCACAGCTGTTTATGAACTGAAAACGGTCTTACTTTTGTAGTTTTATATATATAAGTATATATATATATATATATAAATATACAATAAAGTGTAAAAAGTATCGTCTCCTGGTTTTGCTCTGTTTGCATGCCACACACTACACATTTTTTTTCTATATTTGATATTATTGAAAAGTTTGCTTCAACCCAATCGCTAATTTTTGGCCGTAACGTCTAACGCGCCAGTTCGATGTTACGAAGCTTCTTTTACTGTAAAGAGAGAAGTTCAGATCCAAACAAGATGGCGTTAGCGTTAAGTGGACAACCGGAACTTAACGGCCTCGTTAACTTCCTCCGCCGCCGTTGCTAAAGCAACAAACTACAATTCTTAAGTTACGTCATCGTTCACAACTTCTTCTGTTCGCTGATTGGACCGGTAGAAATTCTACCAAAGGGAATCAAAGTAAACAAGAGAAAAAAATAGAGCAGGAAGACGTCTAAACTGATTTTCAGCTTTGAGTCTGCATGTCGCATCGTTTATCGTTACAGAGGATAACGATTGTTTCTCCTTAATTAATCCCAGCCGCCTGCTTCACAATGCCAACGTTAGCCACTGTTAAACATCCGTGGCTCCGGCAGCTATTTCCAGCATTCAGGCCACACAGCTGTGAGGGGAAGGGGACAGGCTGTCTCTGTGTGTGGAGGGAGGCAAAGTTTAACTCAACTTAGCAACGGCACAGCTGAGGTCAGCGAGGACAACGCAGACAACAGTCAGTAATGGAGGCAGGAGGCTGCTTCTCTCTGCTGCTCCGATCACGATACTGCAGCTCTTTGTGTGGGAGAAAACCTGCACACTCGTGCGATAAATCAAAATCAAACGTAGATTTCATATTATTTGTTGCTATTTACATATTATACTAAATTCAGGTTAACACATTTAGACAAATGTCCAAAATAACATCTATTTTTGGTTTAGTTTCTTCTGCAAATAAGTTTGTACACTTGAAATAAGACAAAACTAACTTAAAAGTAACTTTTCAGTGAGATATTAGACAAAGGTGTCCAAAATGTGGCCTGTGGGCCATTTGTGTCCCTTGAAATGGTTTTGTTCGGTCCCTGACAAGAAGTCAGAAATGTTAAAAATTTGTTGGCCACACTGGTAAAAATTTTGCCAATAAAGTTTTAGCCAAATTTGAATTAAAAAACGGAACACTTGAATGTATTTAAAATATATATATATAATATGATTTTTATATATGATTTTTAATGACAGTAAAAACAAAGTTTTACCAGGTATTTGTACATTTTAGTACACTTGAAATAAGGCATAACATTTTTTCCTGTTATGAATGAAATAATGTACTTTTTTGTCAATGTTAAAGTATTGAGATAAAAGCTTTATTTTAATGAAAAATTTACTTGAGCATTAGTTTGGTCTTATTTCAAATGTAGCATATTTGTACTAGAAACTACAAAAATACTTGGTAATATTTTGTGTCTATGTGGTGTAGTATGCACTTAACCTCCCCTCCCCCACAAAAAAAACATTAGTTTAGCAAGTAAGCAAAGTTAAAAACATTTCAAAAACCTCAAACTTATTTTTGCATTTTTAATTAATGACTTTGGTGGCCCGCTGTAGTTTACATTTACTAGTTTTAAACTTACAGACCATCTGATGCTGCTGAAAAAAATCCAAATCAACAAAAGAATGACAGAAAAATATAAAACTTAAACAGCATTTGAGCACCAAATTAAGCTGAAGAAATTAAAATTCTGCTAGTTTCCAATAAAACTTTAAAAGCTGAAACTAAAAAAGAAAACACAAATCATCTCCACATGGGAAAATTTGAAGTAGTTTTACTTAACATTTCCTGAAAACACACACAAAAAAACAAATTATTACCAAGTATTTTTGTAGTTTTTAGTGCAAATATCTCAGTATTTGCACTAAATAATGATATATTTAGTGCAAATACTGAACTAATTTAGACAAAACTAACTTACAAGTAACTTTTCAGCAAGTGGAGCTTATTTTAAGTAAATAACTGCTTCATATCGATGAACAAAGTACTAGTTTCACAGACATTATTTCAATTATAAAGACATTTTCCCATAAGTGAAATAATCTGTCAGTTTAACCTGAACCTTTTAATCAATATTAAGGAATTATTTACTTGTTTGTGTACAACAAATGGCTTTAACTCTTTCCAGACTGATACGTGACAGTTTCTTAATTTCCTTCGAAACACGGCATTATGCGCTGGCCTCATATTGTCGTCAAACAGGTTCTGTTTAAGGGATTTCTACTTTATACCAGTCAGGCAGTAATCGGTCCTCCTGGGTGTGGTTAATAAAAATAAATACCCTCTCAAAAAATGTCATTACTCACTTAATTTATGATTTGACAAGATCTTTCTCACCTCAACCGGTTGACTTTCTTTGTTTACTCAGATTATCTGTGTCTGATACTAAAATGTGTTTAAATAAGTGAGAAAAGAAATTAGTTTTATCTCTTACAGCCCTCAGCATGTTGTATATTAAGTATCATTTCAAAATAATTAGAAAAAAATAAAAATTAAAGCTTGTATCAAAAAAACAAAAGAAATCTCAGTAAAACAAAAATGTCACCATGACTCAAATGTTTAAAGTTTCTTTTGAGTGAAGACAAAGCTAAAGAGATTTTTACCCACAATGCTCAGCTCTATGTCTGGAGAAAACCAAAATATGTCAACAAAAACACGTCACACCAATGGGCAAGCATGATGGTGGAGGAGTGATGATATGGGCCTTTTTACAGCCTCAAAATGGCTTACCATTATCTTCTATACATTAAAGTATGTCTGATTCAAATACTGTAACAAGATTTCTTACTTCAAATAATCAATTACATGACCGTTAAACATATTTTTAAGATATTTTTGAACAAATTGGGATTAAAGATGCTACTTGGTTTATCTCTGTACTCGTTACCACAAGTATAACTTTTAAGATTTATTTTTTTTGTTGTAACCCCAACAGTTGTGAAGAGGATAGCAAAACGAAGCACGAAACACAGCTGTTTTACTGCAACTGTCAATATTTGTTTTAACAGTTGTGATTTTCACAAGATGCAACTGAAATATGTCCAAATTATGTTCAGTTAAAGATGGAAATATGAACTCTAATCACGTCTGAACGGCACAACTAAAGAACGCCGCTGCTTCAAATCTAAACGTTTCACTATGGCGCCATCTGGCGTTCAAACAGGTGTAGCACATAGAGTCAATCCAAACATCCTGCCATAGCAGGACCAACCGTAGCAGGACGTTTTAGCATAAATTTGGTTTCGCCTTATTATTTATAATTATGTTTGAGATATCTACAAATGCATTTTGACTAGACAAAAATACATTTTGACTGTCCATAATGGCAATTTACGATGCCTTTATTAACATTTGGACTAATAATTCAAGATATCTTCAATTATATTTGGACAAATCAAAATTTCTTTCAAGATATCTCAAATGACGTCACTGGATTTGTGATTTGAAGGGTCACACATCCTTGCGACGTTAGTACTTTATTAAATTTGTCCATATACCAATTTTTAGTGTGAAAGCTTTTATACATGAGGCCCCTGGAGTCCCAAATACGTTCTTCACCGGGACAAGAGGATGAAATCCGCTTTCCAGCACTCGCCCTACACGGAACGGGTGGACCTGCAGGACAGACAGATGAAGGACAGAGACATGTCTTTGGTCCTGAGGAAACTGGATCATACGGGTGTCAAGTCGTCCAGAGAAGAACAACCTGCGGGAAGAGAGCCATGTTGACACAATCATCATTGTCCACGTGGATGCAGCTCCGCCCCCTCCTCCAGGTGAGTCCGTCTGTCAGACAGTAACAGGACGGGAAGACAAAAGGAAGACAATAGGATGGGAAGACAATGGCATGACAGGAAGGCGGCATCAGGACAGGTGCAGGTTTCAGATCAGATCAAAATGACTGGAATGAAATCTCTGCTTTTCAAAAACTCATTAGAAAAATTTTTTATTCAACAGCAGAATACCTGCAACATTCCTCAGCGGAGATTGCTGAGAAAGTTTAAGTCAAAATGGAGAACTGGATCAGGACACTTTCAGGGTTTCCTCCAGAAAACCTCCTGAGCCCGGTGGTAAGAGCACAAAGGTCATCCATCAGCGGCCCGCTGTAGGTTTGAGTAAAAAAAAAAGTCATTTCCACTCAGGCATTTTTCTCAGTCTGAATTCACAGCAACGTTTTAATAGATTATACCAAACTTCAAAAAGATACAGGATGTTGGCATTTTAGTGGAGTAAATAAATAAGCTTTAAGGTTTAAAGGTGTCTCCATCACCTGCTTTTCATTCAGTTTGAGTTTTACTTTGTGAATAAAGGTTTGGGACACAAATTAGTGAAAGAATATTATTCAGAAAGTGGATTATTAACTCAGTTTGATTGAAGGGATTGGTCTAAAATGTGAGGCAGATTTCTGATGCATCTGTCAGCACAGATTGGAGAAAAATATAGATGTTTCACAGGATTCATTTGGGTTTCATTACAAAGTTTAATCATTTTTCTGACTCAAATTTTCAGAGATTTTAATTTTTATTTGTAAATGTTTAAAGTATAGAGTTTCTATACATTTCTGTCATGAAGGATGGCAAAGGCTTGTTTATGCAATAAAGTCAAGCAAATAACTTTTTTTTTTTTTTAGCAAAGATTCATTCTAGATTGTAAACTTAAAAAAGATTTTGCAAGTTTGCTGTGTTAAAAGCCAGGCATCTAGTTTTCAAAAAGGTTATTCTCAGTTATAAGATCAGGATTTGGGTCACTCTCTTTCAAAATGCTCGCTATATTTTAACCAAGCTAATTAAAATGTAGAAAATCTGATTTGGATGCAGCAAAGTCGGCTTTTCAGGAAAAATCTCTGGATAAGCATGGTTCTACTGATTACAAAAGTTTGCTTCTAAAAAGACTAATATGTTGTGTTGCACTTAGCCATTTCCATTGGAAGAAAATTATGTCAGTGTTACTTTCACACTGGTTGAAATTAAAATGTTTGCTAAACAAATTTAGATCTTTCCTGAAATGGAGCTGGGGACCACAAATAGCCCTTTGGACAACCCTGTATTAGAGGATAGATTCCAAAATAAGCAATCATTCACACCTGTAGGTTCTGCTTCTTTTAATTTTTGCATAAAACACTTGTAGGTTACAAGTTTTGACGCAAACTGCGCACTTTTTAGAGTCTTCTTAGTACTTACTGGGTGATCATCCATCCTATTGATCACAGTGAGACCCTAGCAATTTCCTCAGCTCTTGCATCATTTGCTCCTGCCATAAAACAGTGGGCTTAATGCGCATGCGCCATTGGATTTGTGCGTCGTCGCGCCCTCTCCATTGGCTAGCGGCGCCCCCTCTGCGCTCAGCCTTTACAGCCGACCACCCCGTCTGTGAGCACTCTACCCACGCTGCGTGGAACCGCTCGGAAAAAAAAAAAGATGGAGAAAAAGAGCGAGATCAACGGGCACGCCATGCCCAGCTCCGCGTCCACCGCCCGGATGCTGGAGAACAGCGAGGAGCCCGTTGAGGAGGACCAGCAGCAGCAGCAGGAGGAGAAGAAGAAGAAGCGGGGCTGCAAGGAGAGGTTGACGCGGTTCCTGAGCAGGAACCTGCTGGTGATCCTCACCGTGTCCGGCGTCCTGGTGGGCGTCGGGCTCGGCATGCTGGTCCGCGGCATGAACCTGAGCAAAGCGCAGATGAGCCACTTCGCCTTCCCCGGAGAGATGCTGCTGCGGATGCTGAAGATGATCATCCTGCCGCTGGTGGTCTGCAGCCTGGTGTCCGGCGCCGCCAGCCTGGACACCCGCTCCCTGGGCAAGCTGGGCGGCATCGCGGTCGCCTACTTCCTAGTGACCACGTTGATCGCCTCCGGGATCGGGGTTGCGCTGGCCTTCATCATTAAACCGGGGGTGGGCGCCGGAGCCCTGAACACCAACAGCCTGGGTCTGGAGAGCGTCAGCAGCAACAAGGAGACCACAGACTCCTTCCTGGATCTGGCCAGGTACGACCACACCGCCACCCCGCCACTCCAGGCTGATGGAAAGGGATCTTTCACTGCTTGGCTCCAACAAACATGTTGGAGTAAATGCTTCTACATTACATACAACATACTTTGAAATAAACAAAACAAACAAACTTATGACGGCGTACAGATAGAAAACAGGAGGAGTTTCCACAAAAAGCTAACCCAGAAGTTCTGCTAACATATGACATATTAGCATCACTCAAAGTTACGTGTTAGTTCAACTAACTTTGTTATGCTAGTTAACGAAGACGTAACACGGAAGTGTTTCATACTAAAACGGAAGTTATGCTAGCAAGATGTTGGTAGCATAACTTCCGTGTTAGCATGATTTGAAGAAAAAAAGAAAATTTCTGAGCTCCAAAAATCTAAAATTTTCTAGTAAAAAACTCAGAAATTTTCAGATTAAGCTCAGAAAATTTGTAGAAAACAACTTGGAAATTTCTGAGATTGAAAAGTAAAAATATTGCGTGCAAATTTTTCTTTCAAAATCTTTTAGAAATTTTCTTCTGGGGGAAAACAAGGAAATTTCAGAGTTTGAAGAATCTAAAAAAAAATGTTTTCTAACATTCACAAGCATATCATATATTACATATTGAGCGCAGCTGATGCCCAGTGTTTGCTAATTGCTGCTGGCTAGTCTGAAGGAGCTGAGTGGGGGAGGGCTGCTCTGTAGATTGGAAAATGCAGCTCTGAGGAAGAGCTGCGTCTCACCCAGGCTTTTCGCACAACTGAATGGCTGCCATGGAGATTAAAGGATTTTTCAAACATGCATGGAAGAAACCAGTCAACACTCCGGGTGTGTTTTTGATGAAGGAATAACATTATAACATGATGTAAAGCTCAAAAAAGTTGATTTTGGATAAAACGGCGTCTTTAAAAGGAATAAAATGGAGCTCAATTCTGCAGCTTCAGTTTTCTTTCTGTGAGAAGCAGCAACAGATTTTTTTCGACCATAATTAGACGGGAACTGGGTAGAGAGAGAAGGGAAAGGTCACGTTCGACCTATATGGCTATATGAGGCGAATGCTCTATGCTCTACACAGAATAGGACGCCCCAGAAATGGTTTCTACTGATAGCCGCATGTATCAGACACTGCGGGTCATTGTAATGCTCAGTTTCTGCAGAGGAAAACAGGAAGAGAAGCAGCTTCTAAACCATGTTAGAGGTCGTAATGAGCTACTAAATCCACCTGACCTACCCTTGATGTGCGGGTCGTGGTACCCTGAAGTTTACACGTCAGCAGCGCTCTAACTGGGTCATGCAGGATTCAGAGGGGTGGCCGTTCAATCTAATTTCCCCTTTCAGGAGTGGGCCCATCAGTGTTGTGCAACTACAGCTTTGATTTGCAATTCAAATCAAGAAGGGGCTCTCTGCCCTGCTTGGCTGTCACATGAAAAAGTTTGCATTCAGTTAGACTCCGGATGCTTTTGGGTTTTCCGGGTTGTCTTTGCAAATTTTAACTTATTTAGGCAATTTTTAGTTGAGCTTGAAAAAGAAAAAAGTGGAAACAAAATGTGAACAGACATGCCTATTTTTAAATTGTATTTATTCGGAATAAGAGTCAAAATTTATTAAAAAGTTAATGGCTCAGACAAGAAGTTTTCAAGTCACGACACTGGATTTGATTAGATAAAACAATAAGCCATAAAATTGTTGAATTCATTTTTATCCCACAACTGCGTCTGAGATTCATGCATCATCATATGCCTCAGGTTTTACTTTGTTACATCTAAAATCCTATTTTCTGCTTGGCGTTTGCAACACTGATGAAAGAAAACAGGTGATGCAACTTAAAAAAAGAGTTAATTTGTTACAAGTAATCAAGTTAAATTTACCCAAGTAAAAATATATTAACTTGTCATTTTAAATAAGTTTGACAAACTTAATTCGATTACATGCAACAAATTAACTCAGTTTTTAGAAGTTGGAGCTTCTTTTTTTCTGTGTATAAATACAATTAAAGAAGCAGGAGTATTAATGCTGAGAGGATTTTCAAAACATTTATTTTTGTTTCGTTAAATTCCATGTTATATACGATTAATGGTAACTGATTGAACTTTTGCTGTAATACTGACCACTCAAACGTCCGCGATCGCCCGTAGTGGTCGACGAGGTACTGCATGTAAACATCCATTTATATGCTATGACATTAGCTCAAAGTGTGGCGCTACAGCTAGCTTACCAAAGGGTTGTGTTTAAAAATAATAATGAATCAATGGCTTAAGACCAGATCACAATAAAGAAAACTAGTGGAGAGTTTCTCAGGGTGAGATGCAGGACTTTTGTTTTCTAAAACTTAGGATACATTAGCATGCCACTGGCGATCTCTGCTGAATGCGACATGACGGTGACGAGGCGGTGAACAGAGCTGCGCCTGGCGCTGACTAACTGCATCTTAACATAATTGATTTCCACGTGTTTTCTGTCATTGGAAAGTTTAAAATCTGTAAATAACTCAAAACGACGTGTTCATGGTTTTATTGTGGCCAATCACATTTACAAAACAGCTCCACCTTTCACATTAGGAGAAACGAGGCAATGAGTTAAGAGTCTAATATTTCAGGCTGTATATATGAAGATGCTGTGTAATGGAGGGGAAATCTCAAGTTAGGTGGTTCGTGGAAATGGGGTAAATGATCCAGAAACACTGCCAGTTCAATCGTTCACCAACATATACTTGTATCAGTAGGTGGGGTTAAGTTCTTCTCTATTGACAGGAATCGAACCTACAACCTTCTGATTGTAAGACAACTGCTTGAGCCACAGTTGCCCCACGGTGGCCCAGAAGGGTCAATAAAGCAAAAACTACACCACAGAAAATGGAAGGTGTGCTAACACACAAGCTATGCTAAACTTGTTAGCACAACTTTTTTGTGTTAGCATAATTTTAGTATTAGCGGTGGTCCAGAATGGTCAACAAAAACTAGCACACTCCAAAAAGTAATCGAAAGTAACTGAATTAAACAAAAAGTCACAATGAAATAAAGATAAACTATAATGAAAAACTCAAAACTATGGAAAACAATTTAGATTCACAAGATTAACTCAAGATAAAATTTGCAGTTTATAATAGAAATGTATGAGGAACACACTTGGTTTGTGCAGTTTGTAGTGTTAATTTGAGATCTACAAAAGTAAATGTTGGTATTTAAAAGTTGACAGAGTGGGTTTATTCTTGTTTAGCCTCGGGTTATTAATACAGATCTGCTCAGTGGCCTAATAATAAGTTCCCACACAGTGAGGGAAGGCTGACAGCTGTTGCAGCAGGAAAGTGTATCTTAGCTCCCTGCAGAACAAACTGAACCCTGCGGCTTTCAGCATTTCTGCCTTATCATCACAGCAGAGCCATCGCCTGAGTCCAGTTCCCAGCCGGACTCCTGAGGCGGGTCGAACCGCCTCTAAAATCACTCAGAGAACTGGACTCGATTTCATAGAAGTTTTTTTGTTTTCTGAGATTGACGCAAACATTTTTAGTTTTGAATCTTTCTACTTCAATTCTTTCTCATTGTTACCGTTTCATCACATTTATTCTGCTCAGACCTGAACCAGTTCAGTTTTCACCAAACTTTAGTTCACAAAGTAGCCATAAACAAAATCTCGGATGTAATTTTGTATCTTTTGGGAGTTTTTCCCACCAGAAAGAAAACCATTTGGTCTCTTAACACCATGTGTTCTTTCCAGAGTGAATCCGAACAACTCTGGTGACCCCTGACCTCCTCTAAGCCTCCAGTTTTGCTCTGAAAACAGGTCTGGTTAAGGCAGCCATGTCCAAAGTGTGGCCCGGGGGCCGTTTGTGGCCCCTGACTGCAATTAAAGAATAAAGAATGGCACAAATTTGATCGCCCGACATACTTTTTTTTTTTTAGGATATTTTCCATGGAAAGAAGTTTATATCTTCTTACCATAGATAAGAAGATATCTATCTTCTAGCTGCCTGCTATGTGTCAGGCAGCTCTCTGACACATAGCAGAGAGCTGCCTGTGTCAGTAGCTGCACATGGGGGTGATTGACAGCGCTAAGACCTGCCTCCTTGCTCTGGGGTAGCAGGGAGAAGGCAGAGGAGCTAAAGAGATTTCTTCCTTTTTTTTTTTTCATGCTCTACTGTCACAACATGCTGGCAGTTTCAATAGATATGTAAAAAAATATGTATATTTAAAAGTTACTGCATCTTTAAGTTTATATAATTTTTTTTAAACTGCAAATTAAAGTAAATTTTATTATTTTTCCCCTTTGGAAAGTTATTTAGGATTTCTTTTCAGGCACATTTTATAAATCCAGAATTAACGTCGTGAAAAAGCTATGGTTACATTTTTGCTAGAGGTTGTATTTTATCATATTTCTATCAGATTATAACCAAATAAGGTATGATTTATGATTAAAATCAAACTCCTTGACTTATTTTTCTAAATTAACTGAATGAATCTAAATCCTATAAACTTTAACTTATATGATGTTCAGCTTTAGCCGACATGTGACGACCTTGAGGAAAAAAAGGAAAATTTGTCCGGATGTCGCTGCACTGTGGGAAAAACGTGCCGCTTCTCAGCTTTGGAAATCCACCTCCGTCATGTGATATGAGGGAAACCTGACATTATTCCTGCAGGAATTTCACATTTCCCCTCCGCTGTGTCAGGTAGCAGAGAAAGGCTTGCAGCTGAGAATGAACTGAATCAACATTCAGCCCAGTAACCGAGGGCAAAGTTTACTGGGATTATTAGGTGACCCCAGTTGCCGGGCTGTGGAGCGACAGTGGAAACAAACATGAATAGTGTCTGCTTTCTTGCACAATAAAGCACGATCTCAGCAGATAAAGTTTCAGAAACTTGGAAACAAATGGAGGAATAAAAGCCTTCCCAGTACTCCCAGTGTGCTTATCTTACAGCCCTGATAAACAAACTCAGCAGGAGAAAACTTCAGAAATGTTGTTCTCCTGAATATGGAGAGAAACATTGAATTTTACATGTTTTTTCTTTATTTACTATTTAATAACTGTTAAATTAATTTAGCATAAATGGTGCCTCATACCTTCTGAATTTAGTTGCTAATGGTTTATTTTTTTAATGATTTAAAAAAAATCTAATTATTAATCTAACATTTTAGCAAAGTGCGATCAATACACGTCAAGATATTGGTCAGAGTTTCATTTATTATGTCTGGTATATTGGTCTCAACTATTCCTTTTTTTTTGAAGGATGATTTTGTTTACAGAGACTTCCTAATTAATTTTATTTGTTGTTTTTTTGTTAATTTTTTTATATTTAAAATGTCTTCCAGTTCTAGTGTTAAATGTTCAATAAAATTTTAAATTTACAGATCTTTGAGACTGTTTTCTTGCATCATTACAATTGTATCACTTGAAAATTATCATTTATTGCAGTAATTTGTTATTGTGACAGGCTTAGCTGCATGTCTTTTCTTTCTTTCTTCATCCCTGTTCTTGTTGAGCTGCTGATTAATAAATACTAGTGCAACAAAAACAACAAAACAAATTAGGATCTAAATGAACACAGTTTGCTTTTAAATGTATAACTGGGCACCTGATGTCTGGGTTTCCTCCCAGTGTGATCAGAATGATCTAATACTAATAATAAATGTGAAATGAAGCGCCAAAATTGGCTGTTTTTATGGAGTTTGATGGGAAAGTTAATGTTTGGACCAGTTTATTGACGCTCAGGTTGGAATACTGATGCCTTTTCCTTTTCTAGCCGCTTCAGCTTGTGGTTGATTAAACCCATTGACTCAGGACAAACTGCATCACCATGGCTCTGATTTTGATCTACTTCTAATTTGTTTTTCTCCTCTTCCTTTCCTCAGGAATTTGTTTCCATCGAACCTGGTGGCAGCTGCTTTCCGTTCTGTAAGTGCCACACAACACACCTCTCTATTGGTTTTCCTTTTTTTATTTTATTGCTTGTGTTGGATTGTTTGTTCTAATTTATTTCCCCAACCACGTGGATGCCACTCCAGGTTCATTTACAAAACCACTCAAAGGCCCAGCTGGTCGCTCCTGCTGTGCAAACTTCTTTTTCTTTCTTTGTTTTTTTTCCTTAACTTCACTTCCTCTCCCTAACAACCGTTGCCATGGCAAAACAATTCCGTTCCTGCTAGCCTAGCAACCTGCTCTTGAACTGTGCATGCTTCATTTCACATAATTATGTTTGCTGTTTGCTTAAGCTAAACAAAAATAAGGAAAACTCAATATTTAAGGATGCGAGACACAAAATGGCAGCACAAACACTCTCAAGGCAAAGTGCGTCCAGCTGTCAAAGCATTCAAAGTTGGTCATCCGAATTCGTCTCTGTGAATTATAAACTCACAAACTGGTCAGTAAGCACAGAGTTCTGAGTTCAATAAATCCCACTAACAAACACAAACAGAGTGGAAGGTGGCCAAATGTGGGTTAAACAACATGTCTTTGTGAGGATCTGAGATTTTCACAAATAAACCTGCTAAAAGCTACACAAAGACTCTGCATTGAAACATGTTTTGACTTTTTGCTTCTGTCCTGTAAATCAAAATAAACACACAGTTCCTATCAGAAATCAAAATATTTTGAGCTTTTAGTAGTTTATTTTAATGAGAGAACATAAAGGATTTTTAAAAACAAGAATAGGTTCCACAAGTTTAAACTAATTAATTTTCTATAATCCACACAGGATACAAATGATACATACAGACTCAGACACGCGTATATGTAGTAATTAAATGTTAAAGTTGAAATTGCTTTTTGTAGCCACCAACAAGATTAGCAGAGTTATTCCAAATTGGATAAATATAGTAAAGTGTCATTGGCATAATCATGGATATGTATTCTGTCCTGTCTAGAAAACTGGACCAAGCAGTGAACTGTGAGGTACTCCATAACTAAGTGAGGAGAATTTACATGAACAAATGTTGCCTGTGCTGGCTAATTTATCAAATACGATTACAGTGGATGTTTAAAGGTCACTAAAATCTATAAATACGCCCTTTAAATTTTTTTATATGTGCCTATTTTAATAGTTCAAGCACCATATATACCTGATTAAAGCATTAAAAGAAGCAGTCTTAGCGCTACAGCAGAAACTAGTTTCTGCTTTATTTTAACTCTTGGGGATACAGCCAATCAGAATCAAGAAAAATGAATGGTGCACCTGGATTGGCTGCTTTGCAGACGCCAGCCAATAGCCAATAGCAGACGCCATTCAAATAGCATTGTGCCAAAAATATTTTATCTTAAGCTGCATTTTCTTTTAAATATTTTAGAAAATTCAGTGACCAGATACATTTTTCATTTCATTTTTATCTCTTTTTAGATTAAGCACATGTTTCATTTCACTTCACTCTGAAATGAAGAATTTCAGAGTGAAGTGAAATCATCCAACTTCCTCAATGGCATTTCTAGCACCAGAGTCCTGTATTTTGTGTAAAATACAAAAAATACAGGATTTTTTTCATTTTATGGGTTGAAACTGATCTGTCCCTCTGTCTGCACAAAGTAACTTCTCTATCTGTACATCTGCATTTTTACTGCAATGACTTTATCCACAGTGCATAAAACAAACCCAAATCCAGGACTTAATTTTAAATTTTAAAAATGGACTTAATTTTTACGTAACATTGCTTTTTTTATTTTCTAGTATGCCACAGACTACAAAATGGTCGCTGTGGGAAACGACACCAATGGAACAATTCTGTATCAAAAGGTAAGCACTGAAATCATGTTTCCTGCACGTGAAATGCCAGATGTTGTGTTTCTGAAACACATTTCAGACACTTATCTTTGTTTGCTTTGACCACTTGGTGTGTACATGAGTCTGCCAGTGGTGCAGACTCGCTGAATAAGCAATACGTGCCGCACCAAGGGAAGACTTGATTTAGGGAGAGCAGGTTCAAGGCTGGCAGTGAAATGTTTCTACAACTGAACATCATAGCAATCCTAAATGTTGTAATGTAAATCTGTAAATGTGTTCCACCCAGAACTCCACAAGTGGCCTGATTTCAGGTTCATCAGGTTCAAATTCTGTAAAAAAAAAAAAAAGTATTAAGCACCTTCTGCTAAGCCGTTATTAATAGGTTAATCCAAAAACAGATCACTGCATTTATGTTAAGCAGAAAGGCCTGCACTTTTCACATGTTGATGTTGGAAGTATTTTTTTCTTTAGCGCACACTAAAGGAATGCTATGTTCTTACATTTTAGGCCATTTTATTTAATTAACAAAGGAATTGAGTCATTTATTTGCATTTTTATAAATGTATTTCTAACAGGGCTGTTATCATTAACACATGCGATTAACCTAAAACTTTTAACACGTAATTATTGTTACGTGTTACTTCTTCAAATTCCCTACAAGAGATCTTCCCTATCAACAGCCATCACTAGCTACAATAACCTAGAAGAATTTGACTTCATATGAGTTACAACAACATTTAATTTCCCTTTGGGATCAGTAAAGTATTCCTGAACTTGAATTGAATTGAATTAAATAATTCAGATTAATCTAACTACTATTTTGACCTAAAAGCTTCATAGCAGCGCGTTATTGAGAAGTGATGAACGGTATGTACGACAGCAGACGGCAACAAAAGTTGAACATTTCTCAACATTCTTGTGTTGCGTTGCTAGCCTGCGTGTGCACAAATTACGCTGGACGAAGACGAGCAACTGTCCCTCATCATCGCACAAATCCCTTAGGAAATGAACGGAGAGTTTCTTAATGTTTAAAACAAAATAACCTCCTTTAAGCCTTACTGAATATAAAAACCTCGAAAACTAAGAATATTAAGACATGTTTGGTTTGAGACAGTAAAACATTTTTTTTAGAATGTGGTGGGTTTTGATAGGTTATATGGGCAGTTGCTCAGGGCTGCATCAGAAAGTGGGCGGTGTACCTAAGAACTACAAAATAAAATACTTTATTTTCCGGACTATAGGGGGCACCTCACTATAAGCCGCACCCACAAAGTTAAAAAAAAAACAACAAAAAAAACTGGAAATATACATATATAAGCCGCTGGTATCTCCACTGCTCTCGGTTTTTCATAATAAATCTGCTATTAAGGACGCAGCCCTGCGTCTCCAACGCCGAACCATGGATTCGTTCACGCCTAGTTTACGTGCAGCGGCTCTATTTCCCTCCTGTTCTGCCAGATGGATAGCCTTCAACTTAAAAGCTGCATTATATGAACTTCTTCGTGTGGTTTCCATAATGAGGGGTATGAGTTTGAAAACATTTTCCGTGGTGCCTGCTGCCATCATGTGCTTGTTCTAAATAAAAATGAACACTTTCTTCTTTAATTTCCTGTTTTGACTTCCAATGATTGACTTCCTGCTAAAGAGCCCCCTGGTGGTGGAAGAACAATCCACAGAAAAGCCGCACCGGGCTATAAGCCGCATGGTTCAAAGCGTGGGGTAAAAATAGCAAGTGTAGTCTGAAATATACGCTATATCTTATGGGTCAGTTTTCTCCCAAAGAAGTTTGCTACTACTTGTTTGCATGGGTAGTGGAGTAAGTTTCCCTTAGATTATATTACCTGCTTTCTGCTTCAAAAACATTAGGTAATTGTTTGGATTTTAATTGGTTGGAGTGCGGCAGGAGGAGGGGCCAACCCAGAGCACCATTCCTGCAAGAACCACAACTGCATATATATCTATATTTCAAGGTTACAAAGTTATTAATATGATTAGATTTTCTTCTGTTTGAACAAAATGTTCTTCGAAATCCCTCCATCCTGGCTTACAGTTGGGGAAACTGGTCTTGGCATTGGTGGATGAGTGTGGGACTGGACAGAGCTGGTCAGGCTGTGGGAGAGCTCAGCACACTGTGAAGGGATTTAACTCTGGATTTGTCTCCGTCCTCATTGATTCCCATCACCCAGTTCACTGAATCCTCCCCGATGACCCAGACCTGTGCAACCGTGCGCGCTCTCGCTGTAGTAGGAGGCGTTGTACAAACTACAGCCGGCTGGATAAACTCTCCTGCTTGACGAGTTTACTTTACCGTAAAAGGCTTAGACTAACTGAGCAACTGCTGTTGTGGAAACAAGTTTAAAGAACTAAAAAAGCAGTCCTGGAACATACATATTGCTGCCATGTTGTGTAGCTAACGGTTATTTTAGTAGACCATTGGTCAGTCGGAATAAGTCAATTGATTGCATGATAAATAGCAAAGAGCTTAATAATTTCCACTTTCATTATTTGTTTTTCTATTTCTTCTTTTTTTTTTCTTTTTTTAGATGAAACTAGAAAGTCATGAAAAGATGCAAATAATTAAATGATTTGATACATTTTTAAATAAAGAAATGAACAACTGATTACCTAAAATGCAGTAACTTAGCATTCCTTTAGTGTATACTTTTTCACTTTGTATTTGTATCTAAAAAAAATACATTAACATGTGAAAAGCTCAGCCCTTTCGCCTTGACATGACGTCAATACAGTGTAAAGGAAATATTTTGATTATTTTAAGATTAACCAATTGATAATTGGACTGCAAAAGTTGAATAATAATAATAATAAAAAATCAAAAATGCAAAATGTATATATGTTTTGCACAGTTTTGGCTTAGTTGCAGCTCTGAGTTCTTTGTTCTTTTAGCAAATGGCCAATTTTTGAGTCTTTGTACTCCAGTTAACGATTAATCGAATACTAAATTAATCGAATAGTTTATTTGGGCACCAAAATATTGAATTATATTGAAATATTTTACAAACATTAAGTTTGTTGCCTGTTCACAGCATTTTAGACTTTCTTGGACTTAGTCGACGGTGTAGCTCAATGATCCAGTCAAGAAATAAAACAAAATTTAAATAACAAATAAATGATCTGGGTGGCTTTGGGAAAATACACGAGAAATCCTCCAAATAAACTTGTCAAAACATGCTAAAGTATTTTTAAAGTTTTTATCAACATCTGCTGAGTTTGTACAGATTCTTACAGTTTCTGGATGTTTTAGGTGCCGATTGGAACTGAAGCCGATGGTATGAACATCCTTGGTCTGGTGCTGTTTGCTATGATGTTTGGCGTTGCCCTTCGGATACTTGGAGAGGAAGGAGAAGAACTCATTCGCTTCTTCAACGCCTTCAACGAAGCCACTATGGTGCTGGTGTCCTGGATCATGTGGTAAGTACGGACGGATAAAGGAGAAGTATTATGCAAAACTCATATTTTGTAAGTTTTTTTTGTACTTCCATTTGCGTCTTTGGTGCTTCTAAAAACAGCCCAAGCACTTAAAAAAAGACCCAATAAGTTCATATTTTTTGGTGTCTAGAAAGTGAGCTGTTTAAAAAAAACCTCCTGAAAGTAACGTCACAAATCAGTAGGCACCGCACGTCACCTAGTAACCCCAGCGGAAGCCCAGCCCATCACCTAGCAACCCCAACGGAAGCCCAGCCCGTCACCTAGCAACCCCAACGGAAGCCCAGCCCGTCACCTAGCAACCCAAGCTGAGCCAGCAGCAGCTTATTTGGATTTAAAGTGACAGAGTCCCTAAAACAGCTCATAGACAGAACTGAGCAGATTAAAATCTCACTAAGAATGATTTTGTGCAAAACATTTTATGAATATGTTTTGTACCACCCATAGACCTGTTCTAATCCTTTAAAGCTTTATCAAAAGTGGCCATGATCTTATTTCATGGTATCTTCTTGTAACTTTCTTAGGTATATTCCCTTTGGCATCATGTTTCTTGTGGGGAGTAAGATCATAGAAATGGAAGATGTGGTTCTTCTGGTCACAAGCTTGGGGAAATACATTTTTGCTTCCATCCTGGGCCACATCATCCATGGAGGCATCGTTCTTCCCCTCATCTACTTTGCCTTCACCCGAAAGAACCCCTTCAGCTTCCTTTCGGGCCTCATCACACCCTTCACCACCGCCTTCGCCACCTGCTCCAGGTACCACTGATACATCTGACTTTCTCAACATCAACAATATAGAAAATATCTAAGTTTTTTTTTTGTCCCCCCCTCACCAGTTCTGCAACTCTTCCCTCAATGATAAAGTGTGTGGAAGAAAACAACGGTGTGGACAAGCGCATTAGCCGCTTCATCCTACCCATTGGAGCGACGGTGAACATGGATGGAGCAGCCATTTTCCAGTGCATTGCTGCCGTCTTCATCGCACAGCTCAACAACACTGAACTGAACGCTGGACAGATCTTCACCATTTTGTAAGTTTTATTAAGAAACTACAATGCAGAAAGAGTTAATACACACTGAACCCATTAAACGTCTTCATAACTTTTTATTTATGATGCTGTTTGTTCACTAATGTTTTCTGAGATTAAATCACATAATTGGTGAACCCTTTTTACTAGTTAGTTGACTTCTGACCACTATGGAAACACAAAATATTACCAAGTATTTTTGGTCTAGTTGTTAGTACAAATATTTACAATAAGACAAGAATGACTTACAAGTTAGTTTTCAACAAGAAACAGGAACTTAAGTCAATCATTTTTTAATATTGATGAAAAATTGCTCGTACTAAGCTGGTACATTTCATCAATTTTAAGGAATTACTGACTTAAAACAAGCTCACATTTCTTCCTGAAAAGCTACCTGTAAGTTTTCTTATTTCAAATGTACGAAGATATTTGCACTAGAAGCCAGACCATAAATAATAATATTAATATTTTGTGTTTTTGTAGTGAAAGCAGTTGGAATGCAAATGCCTGCACATGGTTCATCAGTTTTAGTATAAACATAGGAGAAACAATTAAGACTGTTGATTCTGGGGTTGCATGTGGTTTTAATCTGTTTTGAAATGATTACGTTACATGTTGCGATTACTTGTAGGGTAACGGCCACAGCCTCCAGTGTTGGCGCTGCAGGCATCCCGGCTGGTGGCATCATCACCATCGCCATCATCCTGGAGGCCATCGGCCTGCCGACCAATGATCTGTCCCTCATGCTGGCCGTCGACTGGATTGTGTGAGTAAATTTACTCTTACCCTGGAAAACACCCAACATTGTAAGGCAGGGAATGCTGTTTCTAGAGTTTTCCCAGAGGAAACCAACTCTTTTTCTGCTTTCCAGTTGAAAAGTTGGAATTTCAACATGGTGGCACCCATAGACATTGTCTGCAAACATCATCTAAAGCTTTACGTTCATTAAGGAAACATCATTTTTAATTTCTACTGTTTTGTGCTTTCAGGCACTTCATGTAATATTGATTTTTGATGCATTCTTATTTGTGTGTCTTGTAATATAAACATCTTTCCAGCACATATTGCTGTTAACGCGGAGTGGCCATATTGGAAGTCGGTCGAAGCTGCTCCCAGTTTCCCAATGGGAACTCTGACTTTGGAGGGAAATCTGGTTGATTTTTCTGACTGGGAAGTCAGAAATTCCCAGTTCCGAGTACAACTGGAGTAAAATGGCTTTAATGTAGCAATTTAAGCAAAGATTCACTTCCTGGAGGAGGAGTATGACATCAAAAAGCGAGAACATAGAGAATTAGGGCTGAAACGATTAAGTGGATTAATTGCAATTAATTGATTATTGAAATAATCGACAACTGATTTAGTAACGGATTGTTAAATGGCAGCAATTGAGCCAAAACTCTACAAAAAATATAAATTTGCATTTAAAATGGGGGGTGGAAAAAACCTTTGTCTGTTAATTATTTACCCAGAATTCCTCAATTGTTAGTTTTAGCTTCCCCTGCTTCAAATTGTGAAAAAAAAAAAAACAATGAATAAAAATACAAATAAATCTCCTACTAAGCACCTTTTGCTGTCCAATTATTAATTAGTTAATGCAAAAAAAAGTGTTCACATTGTTGCATTTCTGGCAATAAAATTAAATTGAATTTTTCATTTGCATTTTTATGTTTGTGGTTTATGTGGCTAAGTAAAAATATATGAAATGTGACAATTTTTTATATCAGTTTGCAGCTAGACCAGTCACAATAAGCAATGAATCAATCACATGACAAATTAAAACAAACTCATTGATTCAAATATTAAATCATTTATTTTATTTGTTGTTTCTGTTGTTTATTTGTTTTGGATATTTAAAATATCTTCCAGTTTCAGTGTTTAATGTTCATTTGAATGTACAGTTTGGGAATGTGTTCCTGCATTCATTATGACGTTTCCACTATATCAATTGAAAATGGTCTCAAAACAACAATAGTATTTATCACTTTAACTTCAGGTTCAATTTATCATCCAGCAGACTTTATTGTGGCAGGCCTATTTGCAGCTCTGTAGAGAATATTTTTTAAATAATATACATGTTTCTAATTTTTTGTGCTCAGTGATCGTACCACCACCGTGGTGAACGTGGAGGGCGACGCTCTGGGTGCAGGAATCCTCCACCACATCAACCAGCTGGAGATGAAAAAGCACCAGCAGGAAGTAGCGGAGGAGCTGGAGGAAGTCAAGGTTGAATCCGTGGCAAACGTTCAGGCGGAGGAGGAGACGTCGCCGCTCGTCATGCACCAAACCAAAATCCTGGAGGGAATGCCCGAAGCCATCGAGTCTGTCCTGTGAACCCAGGCAGACTTCTGTCTGACCGTCTGACCTGAGATTTGTGATGTTGCTGCTGATCGGGCACCAGTGCGACCCGATGTCCTTTAAAAAAAACAAAAATAAAACAAACAAAAAAAAAAAAACAAGAAGGAAAGTTTGCAACTTTGAAGGTAAAACGAAAAAGTCATCAAGAGTCTGTCTGCAGTGCATCCAGGATTCTAATTCAGGAGAGTACATAATGCAATTCAGACATATTTTTCTAATTAAATACTCAACATAAGCGGTTAGTGGTTTCATTTTTGTTTTAGTTTTTTGCTCGTATTAACTCTAAAATAGGCCAGAAACATTCCGACAGATGTTCAAGATTTGCTTGCTTCACTTACAGTAGCTCTCAAAAGTCCACAAAGCCATATTAAAATGCTTAGTTTGTTCAATTTAAACTCTTTAATGTGTCACTTAAAAGCTATTCCCACATGAAGTGCAAAATATCCTGTTCAATCTATGTAGAAACCAAAATATTATGAGTAAATAATATAAAAAAAACAAAAACTGCAATAATCTGGTTGCATAAATGTGCACACCCTGAAACTTTTGATTCAGTTAATTATAGTGAAACTGAAATAAAGTCCTGCTAGCTTTTCTGACATTAGCCCATTTTCATCCTTTAGCTAAAGCCACAGTTTGCAGAGAGGTTACAAAGCATCAAACCGATTTTATGGGACCAAGGTATCAGTCAGGAGAAGTGTATAAAAAAGCCACGGTGTTAAATATTTGCACACTGTGTCCCTAACTGGCAGAAGATGTTTTGGTTTGATGAAACAACCACGAAAATTTGGAAAGGAGGTCTACAATATACAGTTAGCACAAAAAATGGATTAGCTTGAGCCAAACATGGTGGTGGTAGCATCATGGCTCGGGATTACTTTTTTTTCTTTGTAATTGAGTTACATCTTAGCTTAATCAGCAAAAATATGACTCAAAATTGAAGGACTGGTTTAAGGTGTTCAAACAAATGCAACTGGATTATTGTGCCTTGTATTTCTTTTCTTTTAACAGATTTGTTTGTTTTACAGCCAATTGTACAGTATTTGTGCCACATTAACACACAAACTTTGCATTTTAACATGGATGTGGATGTTTTTAAGAGCCACTGCAGAGTAAAGACAGAAACAGCTGTTAATGTTCTGTTTTCTGAACATTATGAATTTCTTTATTTGTATTTACCATCAAAAAGAAGAATGCAGAACCACATTAAAGGAATAGCTATCAAATTATCAACATTGTTTTGAGTAAATGATACATTCCATCGCTTGATCATGTCTGATGGAAACGGGGATGATAGTCGCTATTTCAGGTGAAAATAACAGATTTTTTTTTGTTTCGTAATTAGATGGAATTGAATTTGCAGCTGAATTTGGCTCAAAATCCTGAAAAGTAATTTTTTTTCCCCTACAATGTTATATTACATTTGGGTGTGTGTTGGCAAATATTGGGCCTATATTTTGGTTATGCTTCATGCTACATTATGAGTCAAACATTGGCTAAATATGGTGGGAAAGATCACTTAAATCCCCCTGAATGCTCAATGTTGAGCAAATAGAAGATTGGATTGTTAACAAAGCTTTGGTTTTATTACAGAAGCTTTTAGCTGCCAGAGCTAGGAAATAAATTCCAGAGCACAGTCTCACTAAACATTCACCTACCTCACCTTAATGACATAAAAATATGTTTCTTTGACAAATTACAACTTGCTAAAAGGGCAAAAAGAGGCTCCAACTCTAACTGGTTCTAAAAAGAGATATGTAAATATCTTGTTTAAATGAGAAAGTTTCTAGTTTTAAAGAGTTTTTTTTATTTTTATCTCGTTACAAGAGTTTTTTTGACTTGGCAAGATGCTGCACCTGAATTTATTTTCTAGCTTTGGCAGTGAAGGTCTTCCGTATTTTCCAGATATGTGAAACCATGGGAAAAAGTGATCTGATCCTTGCTCCCTATTTTCAAGTTGATTTCTCAATTTTTTAGGAGGTTTAAAAAAACAACACTAACACCTCAACTACTTTAAAGCTCGGCTAGCTCACCAAGCTAGCTAGCTCAGCTAGCCTAGTATCGCAGCAAACTAACGTTAGCTGCTTTTTAATAAGTTATCAGTCTAATTTTCTTTTCAGACTTGATCTTTAAATTTATTTGTTATAATGCATTTTATCTGTATTGCTAAAAGCTTTTGGAAAGTATGTTGGCAACAAATTTGCAAAGTGTGCTAGCTAACTAACCTGCTAAAGCAGTGCTAACATTCACCTAACGGTTAGTTTAGGTTAGCATTCATCTTTTAGCTGAAGTTTGTTTAGTCAGACTGCCTTAGTTAACAGACTTTATGTTAAAATAATTTGTAAGCATAACTAAAAATGAGATTTTTATTTAATAAGACATTAATTAATGTCTAAGGGTCATTACTGTAGCAGCTAAATCAAATGGATTTTACTGTAATTGTTCACTTTTTGCCAAAAAACCTGACACTTGTGAAAACACTAAAACTACGAAAATGGCCCCTGTTATGGCCACCCTGATGTATTTAAATCTGGGTGCCATTTGTTATGTAATTCTACTTCCTGGTTACACAGAAAACTAGACAGAGCACTGCAAAAACAAAAACATAAGGACTGGATGTAAATTTTGACAATACTTACATGTTTGCTGACTGTGTTTAAACACTAATGTACACTACATAGTTATTCAAAAGCAGTTATAAGTGAAAACATGTTTATTTGGCAGCCATTTTTAAAGTCAATATGGCAGCGATAATGGCATCAAGGGCCAGAAGTGAAAAAATTCTGCACATAAGTTAAATATGTAATAATTTCTTCTGAAGATATACATTAAGTGATCTAATGATTTAAATATTTCATTAAATAAAAACGATTAAATGCTGAACACGTTCATTAAATTAATTTAATGAATGTATAAATATTGCAGCATTTATTCTTTTTTCTAGTCATTTTCAGTAAGAAAATTCCACTATTGAGTACACAAATAAGTAGTGACAAATACTTATTTAAATTATTTAAATAAGTATGGAAATCCTTACATCAACAAATACTGAAATAATTGTTTTTACATTATCATTTCAGATTTTAATTTTCTACATTTAATTATTTGTTTTAATAAATTGAAACATTTAAGTAATTACATATTGCTTATTCAATATATTATAGTTTAATTTAAATTCTTACAAGTGTAAAAGTTATTTGGCAAATTTGTGGCACTTTTGGTAAAAGACAATAAAATTATAGGGATCAAAATAGATGTGAAATTCAGATTTTAGCTTAAAGTGAGCAATGTTTATCTTTACAGCTCTCCACTACATAATTAAATAAAAATAAAAAAGCTGAATTTCTACTAATTATCAAAAACCTCTGTGAAATTTGTAGCGCTGTTTATTCTTTCCAACACATGCTGACAGGATCTCGTCTGACGTCAAGCTAATTATCGGTGCAGCTTGTTTTGTTTGGCGTCACGAAAGCACTCCAGTCTGAAAGTCAAACATTTCACTCACATAAAATAAATGGTGGCTGGTTTGAAAATATGTTACAGTAAAATAAAAGGTTCTCCCTCTGTTTACACTCTAATGCTGGACCAAAATGCATGATGAATGCGCCGTAATTTACATAATTATTATTATGTTTTTGTTTATTATTTTATCTTTTTGTGCTGTTAAACTACACTGGAAGTCATAGGATGCTATAGTAATATTTGTCTGGTTTTAAAACCAAACATGATGGCAAAAATATGGTTCGTGTTACATAATCCTATAATGTCACTTTTACCAACTTTGGTTAATATTGGTTGTATGACGGAGTATTAGGGCCGCACTAAGAAAAGTAACATTGTGAGAATAGAGTCATAATATTAGGAGAATAAGGTTGAAATAATACGAGAATAAAGTTGTAGTATCATGAGAATAGTTATAATATTACAATTTTATTCTTGTATTATTTTAACTTTATTCGGTTGACTTTATTACAGTAAAACTTTAATCTTTATTCTCGTAATATTATAAGTTTGTTCTCGTAACTTTATTCATTTTCCTTATCCTCGCCCTGATTCTCCGTCGTACGGTTGAAAAGTGAGCTTGTCTGTTTTCTTCTTGCATATTTTATTACTTTGCCTGTTGATCCTTCTTTAAATGAAAATCAGTCCCTGTTGTTGACATTGTTGCTCCTTTTTTAAAACTTAGCTCTTTGAGCCCCATGTTTCTGCACGGTGTGCTCTTTTCATTTTTGGATTATTTTGGGGGGAATAATCTGGTGCTGTTGTCGTTTGTGCCAAATCTACAATCTCTCTTTGAAAGCTGCAACTTGACCAATAAGCCCCTGCCTCCCTCTAGTGGCTGTAATGTGAAAATGCTATAAAAATACTGTGGTGCAAAGCAACGCTTCCTATTTATTCATGTTATTTAACACTAAGAAGCGGAAGGTGATTCTGATCCAGTGCTTGCTCATGTGATATGTATTCTGTGAAAACCACTGCAGTGTGAGGGTTTATTTTTGTTTTTGTGGTCTCTTGGGAATGTGGAAATTCAGTAAAGATGTCACAAATATCTGCTTTAATTAAAAAAAGGAAGAAAAGTTTCAGTCATTAGACATATCAGATTAATTAACCTCACTCTGAGTTGTACGACTATGTGGTACATGGAATTTATATCCATATATATATATATATTTGATAATTTATTGTGATTTGTTTAACTTTTATGAATCATTTTTACTTGTTTTTTTAACACTATACACTTTCCCCCTCAGTTTTCAATGTTTCTACCATAAGAACACACTTTATAGCCTGAATCCTGTCAAACAGAATGCAAGTAATTTTTGCTCTTATTTTTAGTGCTTAAAATGACTGCTGTTACCTGTGACATGTCTGTGTCTAACATTGTACAGCTGTTTGCTGTTAGTCCTGCTGCCTGTCTTCATTAAAGATGTTTTCTTTTTTGTTTTTGACATGAGTGGTGTATTTATTAACCATTTATTTTGACGTGATTCATATATAAATGCATCTAAAAAGTTTAAAGTATCGTTGAAAGGTTGATTAATTTTAGTAATTCAATTCGAAAACTGAAACTTGTACAAGTAATTGATGATGGCTTAAAACTGATGAAAACCCAAAGTCATGTTTTACAGAAAATTTTAATGCATGAAAAAACAAAACAATTATTAACAGAGAAATGTCATGCATAATAAGCTTGTTAGTTGTAAATCAGACAATAATAGGCATCCAGTTTATGGGTGATAAGAGATAAATGGACTTTAATAAAGAAGTGGGATCTTAGAAGAAAGTTGAGTGGAAGGAAAAACTACTATAAAAGGACTGGGCTGTTGCTCACATGTCTGAGTTTTGACTTTTATCCTGATTTATTACTTTTTTTCCTGTGAAGAACACTTTGAAATTAATCTCAGAAATTTTTTATTTAAAAAATTCTAGATTTTATTTTTAAATTTTTTTTAGGTAGGATTAAATTAAAACAAAATTTGGGATTTTTGAAAAACAGAAATGTCCATGTTTCTGGGATTATTCCCAAAATTTTGAGGAAATGTTTGACTTTTCAAACACACAAATTTTCTTTTTTTCTTTCTAAAAAATTCTGATTCATCTCAAAATGTTAGTTTTTTCAAGCAAATTTTTGACTTCCAAACTGAAATTTCTGTTTTTTCTAGAACACTTATGAGAATAATCTCAAAATGAGTTTTTGCTAGCAAATTTTCAACTTTTCAAACTTAGAAATTAACATGTTTTTAATGAAATTTCTGAGTCATCTCAAAATTTGAGGTTTTTTTTTTTTTTTGGCGGAAATCTACTCTTTTCTGTTTATTTGTTTCTTTCTCCCCTGTCTACTACGAACCTTTCTCCGCACTCTAAATTGGCGGCTGTGAGTCAGGCGTTACGCTGTAAATTCCCACAGTCCTGAACGCAGCAGGGATGATACCTCAACATCCATCCAACCTGCCGCTGCTAGCAGGTTGATAGCTAACCGGAGAGAGTTCAGGGCGGCACGGCTTCATCATGAGGACGTCCCTCCCTCGTTAACCGGCACCGAGGACTCCCACGGCTCCCCACCCAGCTGGACTCACCGCCCCACCGCGGAAAGCGAGATGACGACCCGGTCGGAGAGAGAAAAAGCCCAGAAACTGAACGAGCAGCATCAGGCCATTCTTACCAAACTGCTGCGAGAAGAGGACAACAAGTACTGTGCAGACTGTGAGGCTAAAGGTAGGCAGGACACGGTCCACAGTGACCGGGGGACACGGGGAACACGCTTGGACATTGTCCACCATGCACAGGAATGCATGTCTCTGCTGCATTTTGCACCGACATGTTGTAATTTTCATTAATACATTTTAAACACTCAGGGATTAAATTTACAAAACGAAAATGTTTTTTTTTAAAAATTATTTTCAAGGTAGCATTGAATTAAAATAAATAGGATTACAAAATTTCCGCTGAGTATTTTCAAAATAAAACACTTTTTAAAGTTTGTATCAAATTGCTATCATGAAAAATGTTTTTTTATATATATTAAAATAATGTATCTGGGCTGAATTCGTTTATTTTTTCCTTATAAGTAATTGTCTTCTATTTTCTGTTTATATGAAGTTTAAATGCCTTTCTTTTATTATGTATCTGAACGCCTCTTTGTTCCGGTTGTAAGTGGGTTCACTGTGGGTAACTTGAGGCTGTAGTATCGATGTCGTGTCCTTGACTGGGTTATTAATGAGCGGAAAACGTGCGTGTCCCGTGGAGCAGCGTGGAATCTCAGGTGTTTTTCACTCTCTGATTGCGTCCTGTTTAAAAAGAAATTGAAAAAGGAAATAGAAAAAGCACACATAGGCACATTCTGCTGCTGCAGCATCTTCACCAGACTCCATTAGAAAAAACGAAACTTTATCATTTTCTTACACAAAATCATAAAATACAATATGAGCAAATACATGTGATAAAAGCGTAGATGTGCTTTCTCAATTCGGCATATTTCAGATATAATTAAAGTGATTATTACTGTGCAGAAATGTGTACGCATTTAAATCAATGGTTGAGCTACAATTTCCAACAAAATCTTGCTGTATTATCAGGTATTGCTATTATTGCATGTCAGTGTGAAAGGATGCTATTTTTAATTAGTAAATTAAGTTTTAAAGGGCACATATCGGGGTTACCTCTGGGTGAGATTACGTCTTTTTTGCGTCATCGCCGCGCCTCCTTTGCAATCAGTGAGTCAGTGATTTATCCATCTCTTTTTCTACTTATTCACTAGGATTAAGGAATCGTTTTAGAGCTGGGTGGATTTTCAATCAGTTTTTTAATAGATTTATCACAAATCAAAACCTGAATATTCTGGCACGCACGCTTGGAAAATAAAGGGTTTTAATTAGTGGAACGCCTCTGCAGGGTTGTTCAAGGTGCGGCCCGGGGGCCTTTTTGTGGCCTTTGGAATAATATTGTGTGGTCAAGATTGGTATAAATCTGGCTCTTGGGCATATGGTACAATGCAGATGGTCATTTTTTGTAATTAGGATGAGATTTCCATGGCAAGGAACTGATGCAGCTGCTGACAACCACTCAGAATGCTGAGCTCTGCTGCCGTTGATCAGCTCTTTTAGTCTTCGGAGTGACGCTGCATGTAGTTGTTGTTTCCTGCCAGCTGCAGGCGGCGTGTCAGAGGTGCAGCTGCATGGCTACATGACGAAACGCTGCAGACTGCTGAATCATCTCGTCCTCTGAGCTGTAATTTCACCCTCTGTCCTGCTTGTTTTCACACACTGCCCTACATTTTTCCCTCCGTGTGGATCCGTGACAGACGAGATTCTCCCTCATATCAGTTTCGTTCGTTCATTGTGTTTGTCTACTAGAGTTCAGCCTAGATGTGAATCAAGTGTTGCACAAGCTGTCTCAGTTCTTGGCTTGATGTCAGCATCAGTTTGGTTAGAAATTATGAAATTATGAATTAGCAGATTCTGTGCAACCTCAGCAGATCTTAGCTAGTACCTTCAGGCTTCTCGCCGCTCTGATGACCTGTTTTTGATAGCAGTTCACTGTCAGATGTGTGAAATACGACAGCTTTAAAAGAAATGCATATTTTACTGCAGAAGCTTAAGTTAACATTGAACATTTTAGGGAAAAAAATAAATCTTTATTTCATCATATTTATTCAGAGCCAAAAAATGTGTAATTTTTTTTAAAAACAAAAAACATTACTTATGCTAAAGTAGCATAGTTATGCTTTTTATGCTACATTTGTACATTAAAGGAACACAATTAAAGATTTGTTGTACCATACCAGTGATGGATACTGCTTACTAAAACGTTAGTTGTGCTAAACCTTAAGCACTAATCATGACCATTAGTTCTGCTAATGCTACAGTGGTAAACCAGCATGGTATTTGGCGGAAGCTTATATTGTGAAACATTTCTCAGTCACGTTTTCCAGCTCTACTAAACCGCTGAATGAAAAATTTGACTTGGAACTGAAAGTTGAGCTCTAAAGATCTAGGTCTGAAGTTATACTTTTTAAACAACAAAATCTTGCTAGAACATTTTTATTTAATGTTTTTTTTTGTTTTGTTTTTTTTTTCCCTCAAATTCAAAAGTCTACACAGATTTGGTCAATATCAGGTTTAACTGTCTTTTAAAATGTATGACTTAGGTCAAACCTTTTGGGTTTCCTTCCACAAACAACTTATTGTAACTTTTAACATTTACATTTTATTAAAGATCAGAAATTGGTGCTCCTTTTACATTGTCGTGTCTTTTGAGAGATGCTTATCTCATATCCAAGCAAACGTGTCAGCTGAATTAAAATCTAAATTGGATCTGGGATTGAATAATTTTGGGCGTAATGCCGTTTATCGTCAGCAGGTGGACAACTCTTTCCACTGTCTAATTTGGTGCCTTTTTAGTTTGATTTCAGCAGACGTTGCATCTATAAATGTCTGGTTTACATTCATATCAAACCATCTATTATACATTTAAAAAATTCGAGTGTTTTTGTTTCCCTATTTGATTGTTTAGCTCATACTTTCTTCTGAGTATTCATCATTTCTTAATATTCTTCAGATTTTTCTCTTCACATTTCTTGGATCTGCATTCCCTCAGGAAATCAGCAGGGGGCAGCACAAATCTGCTGTGTTTTTCCCTTATGGGAGTCTTGTTCTCTGTTTTCCAGCATTCGAGTTTCCACGTTATAGTTCTGTAATTTACAGTGAGGGAAATTTGTATTAATTAGCAAATGGAGGTTGTTAACCTTCAGTAAAGGAGAATTCAGCACAGAGATGGTTCATTTTTCTGCTTGCAGCAGCAGCAGCAATGAGCCTCTTAACCCAAGATTAATGGTTTCCTTCAAAAAATTAAATAAATGAAATATTAAAAATAAGAGGCTAGATGTACATTGAATATTAAGACATTTTTAGGATGTTTTATCGGAGAAATGACACGGAAGTGTAGACTAATGCAGACATAAAATAATGTTTTTTAATAGCTGTCTGCTCAGGTTTTTGTGGTGCAGAGCAAGGGGTGCAACTAGGAAAAACCAGAAAGGTTTGTTGCTAAAGAAGCTGGTTGTTCAAATAATGCTTTATTCAACTTTATTAATGGAAAATTGAGTGGAAGGAAAAAGTGTGGTTTAGAAAGATGCACAAGCAGCATTAATAACTAAATCGTTGAGAGTAAAAAGAAATCAAAATCAAATTCTGGTTGTTTAGATAATGGATTTTTAATCTATTTAAAATATAAATCCCCTTTTTATATTGGATTAATGAAATAAATGCTCTTATATTTTCTAGGAATTGATTTATGTCCACATTAGCAAGTTATTTGTTTTTTCCCCCCTTTACTCTATGAAAATATCATTTATTGCAACCAAAGTAGGGGGGCAACTAATGATTATTTTAGTAATTAATTAATTGTAGGTAAAAAAAAATAAAATAAAAAAATTGGCACATTCTTTAGATTTTCATTTAACCAATTAAGCCTATTTTATTTAAAAAATATTAAAAATACATAAAAATATAAATAAACTAATTCCTTTTTTAAATACGAAAATAAATTTTCTTTGCCTAAAATGCAATAATATAGCATTCCTCTAGTGTACGGTTAATCAACTGTTTCCTCTAAAATCAACAGTGCAAAGCTGACCTGCAGATTTTTTTTCAATTAACCAATTAATAATTGCATCGCAAAAGGTGCTCAATTAGAATTTTTTATATTACAGATTTTGAATCAGGTGAAGCTAAAACTATGTCACTTGAGGAGTTCTGGGTGTAACACATTTCCAGATAAATATTTTTTGGAAGTATAAAAATGTCCAAAAAGTGAATTTTGCACAATAGTTTTCCTTTAGAACAAGCCCAAATCACCACACCTCCACCTCCATGCCTCACAGTTAGCATAAAGACATTTAGGCTCATTTGGTGTTAGTTTTTCCTGCCAGACAGAAAATTTCTCTTCCAATCATCAGAGCAACACTCTGACTCATCATGTGCCTGGTTACTTGAAACATTTCAGCTTTGAGCTCAGCTCATTGTCTCAGCTAAAAGGAGTTGGCCGTGAAGGAGTGCAGCCACCGTTTTCTCCTCTCTGCCACTGTCGCACACTTCCCGACACAGCCGCCCTCCAGTTGTTCTGCTGACTGTCCTCAGGTTGACAGTTCGGGCTTTAATTTCATGCTCTGCTAGCTGCCCCCCTCCGCATCTCTTCTTGTCAGTTTGAAAGCTCAGCTGTCACTCATCAAGGCTCCTGGGTGTTTCTCTGCCTGTGTCTCAATGTGCTGGGACGCCTTGCTTTGTCTGTCTCCGTCCGTGTTTCACTTTGTATGCTTGTGCCGTCTGTGGACATGACACTAGCTGCGATTTGTTTGTCTATAATCTGCTTACGTCGAAAAAACAAACAACAAAACAATACAAAATTTCGCCTAAAAAGTGATATTGAAATCACGCGTGAATAAGCTTGTTCACGCGATATAAGTTTGTAAAAAAAAAAAAAAACATAGCGGCGACGGAAGTAAACATTAGCCATTAGAGGAGACGTTAGCGTCTTATTCAGCCGTTGGACTGGAAAGCTGCGTATACGGCGTCTTTTTTTTAAATTTTTTATTGGCGGTTGACAAAAAAAAAAAAAAAAAACGTTCATTACGCATTACCGCCAGTTTTCAATACGAATGACAACTGTTTTAACCCGACTGTGCGATGCTGCGAGAGCTCCGATGGAGTTAGCTGTAC